ATAGCCAACACTGCAGCAAGTCCGGCTGTAGACGGTGAGGATTAATGTGTAATTGCATCTTTCTGGGCAAGAGAATGCTCCACGTGTCGATAGGGGCGGTATCTGCGAGACTCCTCCCGGAAGATCGACTTGATGGCCGTCAATATCCCGTCAACATCACTTCACCTCAAGCTGCCCACCCACACGCAATCATCTGCTACCCAGAAGGATGCCAACTAGGGACTTATTGATTACAGTGCCCCCGGCCCCCTCCACCAACTTGGAAAACCACCACCAATAAGTTTAAAGTTGTGGGGGTAAAATGGTGCGCCACGTTAAAACTTGGACGGGTAAAACACACGTGGAGCTCCTCGTCAACATCCACCCTAGGGAGGAGGAGTCGTTGTGCCGTCATCGAGAACTACGGTTAGCATGGTTTAAATACACTGGTTTAAGTAAAGTGATTTAAACATTTACTAAAAGATGATTCAGTTCGTACTAAAAAAAAATGTGATTTCAATGACATTAAATAACGAAACTGTCATGGTTTAAGTCATCGTCTGTTTATTATTAATGTATACACTACTTAGGGATACAAGATTTTCCTGTAGTGTCTGCAATTTACTTGACAAACTTGTCCACATAACTTCCCTTCCTCCTGCCCCATCCTGCTTCATCCTTCTTCTGCCTCCCTCCTCCGTGTTACACCCGTGTTTACTCTATAATTTAGTATTATTTTTCGTTTATTTACTCTTTTTTTTGGTGTGTGTGTGGGGGGGGGGGGTCACGTTAAACGATACTTTTAGCAGTAGCTTTGGCTGTCCGTCCGTACTTTCCTCCGTCAGTACGTCTCGAAAAGTATAATGCAACAAGTCCTACAGTTTCCACCAGATTAACTTCAAACCTGGAGGACTTTGCAACCTTCTTGTCCAGATGCACTTAGTGTGTGGTGTGAGAAACATGGAGGTCACAACTGAAGGTCAAATATCGTAACTTCAACTAAAACAACTCTTGTGTCGGTACAGATGTTTTAACAATCTGTGTGTTATCACTTGGGCAAAAATCCCGGTTACCAAATTCAGCTCCCTGTGTCAAAGGTCAAGGTCATACAAGTGTCAAAGGTTAAAACTATCGGGAATGTTAAAGTCTCTTATTTGATATTTTATAATGTATTATTATTTATTAGGTTAGAAATCAAAAGTATCCTTAGTTTAGGTAAGTATGTATCATCACTACACAAAGGTACAGAACATTGTATCCGGGTGTGTTCATGTTCACTCACACAGCAGCTCAAGGTTTCAATAAACGTCATTATTTGCACCGTTTTGCCTCAGGGGAATACAGGCTTATTTTTACCGTCCATTTTCACCTGTTTACACACCTACATTTTAATATTCTCTCTCGTGATAAAAACACTTAAAAAATATTTGACTCTCTGACTTCAGATTTTTTAGGAAAGATTGTGTGATGAAATTGCATTATTTTCTTCATTATGAGGAAATGACTTTTCTACACATCCCTTTTCATTGTTTTCAGGTTTATTGACTTTATTATTTATCTATTTTCTTCCGGTAAAAGTATTTATATTTTACGACTTATAGTTCTTCAGAAAAATACGAGGTTAAAGTACATCAGGTTAGCGCACACCGGTTAATGTACATCCGGTTAATATACATCCACTTAACATTCATCTGCTTAATATACAGAATTTCAGGAATGCATCATGTACTGTTGCCTTCATTTACTACGATGTAAACAAACAGTGTTGTCACATCTCACAAAACACGCCAGCACTGTACCAGTTATAAATGGAGGCAACTGTACTGTACCTCGCGCCTAAATCTAAATTTGTCTAATTTAAAACCATTGCTACGAGTTCGCTCCTGGTTGGATAGTTTGGGTACCTTTCTTATATCACCTTTGTTCAGCCCTGACTTCCATTTATACACCTCTATCATATGGCCCCTCACTCTACGTCTCTCAAGGGAGTGCAAATTAAGATGCTTTAACCTGTCTCTGTACTCAAGGTTCCTAATGCCCGGGATTAGTCTTGTCATTCTCTGAATTCTTTCTAGGGATTCTATATCCATTTTGTAGTACGGTGACCAGAACTGAACTGCGTAATCCAAGTGAGGGTTCACAGGCGCAAGATATAGTTTTAGGATAACTTCTCTAGTGTTGTAACTAACACTGGATTTATTTATTTATTTATTTATTTATTTATTTATTTAGGGAAGACCATCATAAAAAAATACGAATATTGTTTGGGTGTTACAGTATGCTAATTTTCAATGCCGATATGACCCTTTGTAGCACCCGTGTGTGTCGACATATACGATGCTAAATATTTTGTTTATTTTTATAGATGTATCATTAACATATAAAGCTTGGGTAGGCAATAGCATGAAATAAATTATTGTAATAATGACACAACTGTTAGGAATAAATATACACGTAATAACAACAGTTGGTAACAGTTGCTTTTGTTCAGTTACCAACAGCGTCTGAGTAGATATATTTCTTTTAGTACAATGAGTTAATTACGTTGATAATAACACTTTTAAGTACGTAATTAAAGGTGAGTCAACTGTGTATTAAGAAAGGTATGTTAACTGTACTAACAAAGGTGTATCATCAATGTACTAACACATATGTCATCAATGTCCCATGTCAGGTGTATGGAACTCCGACACTTGCAACTCACCTGAGAGAGAGAGACAATTAACTGAGGGTCGCCAACACACACTAACTCCCACGAGAATTAATTACTCTTAACCCTTTGATACAGTTTCTTGGCGGGGAGTTGAGGGAGTCACCTGGGGGACTTGATTCAGGTGCCTGGGTCACTGGTCAAATGGGCCCCAGTTCTATTAGGAGATCAATTTTAACGCTGCCTAGTTATTAACGTCCAATTTTTAATATTACTTAGAAGGGTCCCAATTTTAACGGCACCTAAATGTTAATGGCCCAATTTTAACTGTACCTAACCAGTAGCTTTAGGGGTAAGGAACCACGTATACCTGACACTGCTAGCCTACCTGAACCACTCGGGGGGGGAAGGGGGCGGGGCAGACTTCTTCCTTCTCCTCCTCCTCCTAGATTTCCTCCTCCTCGTAGACTCCCTCTTCCCGAACTCCTCCTCCTCCTCCTCCTCCTCCTCCTCCTCCTGCCCCCACACAACACGCTACAACACACACTCCTGGGGTCATGCTCTTCTCTGATCCATTCCAGAGGTGAGCTTCGTGTCTCGGCTGACGGTGTTACCTGACCAAACGTCAACAATACACAGTTTGCTGAATAATTCCCTCCCTCCCCCAAAAAAACTTTGTTGTCTGGTCTGTAATCCACACACTGTTGTATTGGAGGTTTGTAATCACACACGTAACACCCCACCCACCCCCTCCTAGCCCTACTCCAGCCCCTCCCCCGTTACATGTTCACATAGACACATGCCCAGACCTCAACCTCCCCACAACCTACAGTATACACACACACACACACACACACACACACACACACACCTTTTAAAAACAATAACTAATACCTGGTCTGTTAACATCTTGCTAGATATGTAGATGCAACTTCCTACGACAGACCAGCCGGAACTAATATTACTTCTGCTTTTGAAGTTAATGTTAAAAACTTTTTTGGTTCCTCAGTATAGATTTTCATAATGGCAGTTGTATAGCGTGTGGATACCAAAAAGCAGAGGTTGTGGGGAGTGGGGTGTGTCATGAGGTGGGGTTGTGAGGGAGTGTGTTATCATGAGGTGGGGTTGTAGGGTGGGGTGTGTTGTCATGAGTGGGGTTGTGAGGGTGTGTTGTCATGAGGTGGGGTTGTGTGGGGTGTGTTGTCATGAGGTAGGGTTGTGGGGTGGGGGTGTGTTGTCATAGGGTGGGATTTGTGAGAGGTGGTGTGTTGTAATGAGGTGGGGTTGTGGTGGTGTATTTGTCATGAGGTGGGGTTGTGAGGTGGTGTGTTGTAATGGGGTGGGGTTGTGTGAGGTGGTGTGTTGTTGTCATGAGGTGGGGTTGTGAGAGGTGGTGTGTTGTAATGAGGTGGGGTTGTGAGGGGGTGTGTTGTCATGAGGTGGGGTTGTGAGGGGGTGTGTTGTCATAAATTGGATATGTCATGAATTCTGTAATGAAACTTTGCTGTCATTAGAGTTGTCATGAGTTGGAGTATCTTTCAGTGGCTGTCATGGATGTGTCATATGTCACACAGAGATACAACCTTAATGTTTTTTTTAGTGTAGTTCGTGTGCAAATAAAACTCAAATACACGATTCTATGTTCGGTCGTGAAAGTTATACTCCTAAAAGTTGTTTCATAAAATATAAATATTATGCGTTCTACTCCAAGCTTAAAAGGGGTAATATCAGTGTGTGTGTGTGTGTGTGTGTGTGTGTGTGGACCTAAAAACCAGCGCCTTCCTACCACTGATTTTTTTTAAAGTAACCTTTTTTTTGTTATTTTATTTTCACGCCCTGGATGTAAACTCGTGTACACTATTTAAATATAACAAAGAGGTTTATATTGTGTCTTTAACTAGTGACATACCAATACTCAGCCGCTGAACTTAACGTGTACAAAGCTGTGGGTGTATTGGGAGTTTATACATGTCAAATATTCTCACCACCTCTGAATTTTAGCTGGTTTAATTTAATTTTATTTATTTTATTTATTTATTTATTTATTACTCTAAACTAAACCACTATACAGAAGGTAAACACAAGGGGAGGCGGACCTAAATGATTGCCATGAGGTTGAGGTAGTCTGATAAAGTGGGCTGACGTGTTCTGGGTTAGACTTCGATGAGGTGGTTCTGTCATGAGGTGGGTCTGTCATGAGGTGGGTCTGTCATGAGGTGGGTCTGTCATGAGGGGGGTCTGTCATGAGGTGGGTCTGTCATGAGGTGGGTCTGTCATGAGGTGGGTCTGTCATGAGGTGGGTCTGTCATGACTAGGTTCTGTCATGACTGGATCTGTCATGTGGGTTGGGTCTGTTATAGCTGGGCCTGTCATGGGGCGAGTCTGTCATGAGCTGGGTTCTCTTGAGGTGTGCTTTCATGAGGTAGCGTGTCATGACTTCGACAGTGATGAGTTGGTGTGCTTTAATAAGCTAGCCTGTCATGAACTGGCCTATCGTGAGCTGGACTACCATGAGCAACACTGCCATTAGGTGAATAACCATCATGACCTGAAACACCATGGAGTGACCTGAGGACCTGGGATAGACGAGTGAGTCAGTCAGGCAGTCATTCAGTCGTCAGTCAGTCGTCACAGATATAATACAATAACAGGAGTGTCTCTCGCTGGACGGGCTAGAGTTGAACCAATTCCGCATGATGGGGAACGGAATTGCATCCCAGAAATATAGATTGATAAAATTGTTTTTAAATGGACTAGGAGATTGTTATCAACATGTGAGGAAGATGTGATTTTTTTTTATAGTCTGGCGTGTGATCTGATGGGCTCTTTGTGTGTGTGTGTGTGTGTGTGTGTGTGTGTGTGTGTGTGTGTGTGTGTGTTTGCTTGAGGTGTAGTTCTTTGTCATTGTCACATGTACTTTCTCCTTCCATCCGTTATTCCTCCTCTCTCCCTCCCACATGCATCTCCTCACATTGAAGTGTCTCTTAAAAGCAACACCCCATTTTCTTTACTCCTTCTTTTTTCGACTAAATTTCTGGTGTCATGTTCGGCGTCAGTCGTTATTTGATCGATAAAATAAACACCTAAACGCTTCCTTCCTCCCTTCCCTCCCCCTTCTCCCTTCCTCTGCCTTCTCCCTCCCTCCCACTCACCCACCCACCCTCCTTCCCTTCCTTCCTCCTCTTTGCCTTCCTCCCTCCCCTGCCTTCCTCTCCCCTCTCTCCATCCCTGCTCTTCCTCCCCCTTTCTCTCTTCCTCTGCCTTTCTCCTTCCCTTTCCTCACCTCCTTCCCTCCCTCACTTAACCCCTCCTCTCCGCCCTCCTTCCTTCCCTCCCCTCACCTCCCTCACCTCCATCCTCCCACCTGAACATAATTTGATAAATATTTCCAGGATCCGCTTGTCGGACATTTTTAATATTCATGTTCACTTTTTTTACGTTTAGCCAGTTCAGTGCCCACTTTTTCCTGAACTGGCTGGTGACGATATTCTTTTCTTTCTTTATTCTGTGTGTGTGTGTGTGTGTGTGTGTGTGTGTGTGTGTGTGTGTAGCTTAATAGTGTAAGGGAGTGAATAGTGCCTCTCTCTCTCTCTCTCTCTCTCTCTCTCTCTCTCATCCTTATCTATGAAACTCCGGTCGTCTATCTATCATCGTTAGTTCCGTTCCTCTTCTCTTTTCTCTTCCGTTTTTCACTTTTCTTTGCCATTAAGAAGACAGAAATACTGTTAGCTGTTGCTGGGTGTAGAGGCCCCCAGAGGAAGGAGGTCAGGTGTGTTGCTGGGTGTAGAGGCCCCCAGAGGAAGGAGGTCAGGTGTGTTGCTGGGTGTAGAGGCCCCCGGTAACTGAGGTTCCAGATACAGGAGGTGTGTGAGGGTCAGTCAGCGGGGACTTCCCATGTGCTGGCCGACCAAGGTATCGACCACCAGACTGTGGATTAGTGGAAATGACATCATCTACCGAACCTAACCTAACCTAGCCTGACCTGATCTAACCTAACCTAGTATGACCTGACCAGACTTAAGCTAACCTATAACATGAACGACTTAACCTAACCTAACCTTACCTAGTATGACCTGATCTAACCAAACCTAGTATGACCTGACCAGACCTAACCTAACCCTACTACTAGAACATGTTAAATATCCAGGACTGGCCTCACATTCTTCCCCTTCTGGAGGAGTCTTGACCTGCTTTGTTGTCTTCGCCGTGGAGGGCAGGAGGCTGGCTATGGAATGTGTCTGTCCAACCATCTGCCTGTTCGTCTGTCCACCCGTCTGTCTGACTGTCCACCCACCCACCCGCCTGTCAGCATCCCTGCACGCCTGTCAACCCTTGCTCCACTTGGCCGTCCGTCTGCCTGCCTGTCCACCTGTCCGTCTGTCCGCCCACCCGTCCGTCTAACCATCGGGATTTTAAACACGAAACTTGTAACTTGATCCCAAATGAGACTAATGGCAATGATTTCCTGTTATTATTGTTCAAATTTGTGGGTCTTTGTGCATTTGTTGAGGTGATAAAGGTACTATAATGGTGATACAGGTGATATAATGGTGATACAGGTGATATAATGGTGATACAGGTGATATAATGGTGATACAGGTGATATAATGGTGATACAGGTGATATAATGGTGATAAAAGTACTATAATGGTGATACAGGTGATATAATGGTGATACAGGTGATATAATGGTGATACAGGTGATATAATGGTGATACAGGTGATATAATGGTGATACAGGTGATATAATGGTGATACAGGTGATATATTAATTGATACAAGGTGATATAATGGTGATACAGGTATTGATATGATGGTGATACAGGTGATATAATGGTGATACAGGTATTATAATGGTGATACAGGTGATGTAATGGTGATGCAGGTGATAATGGTGATGCAGAATTTGATATAATGTGGTGATACAAGGTGATATAATGGTGATCTGGAGTGATATAATGGTATTAGGTGATATAGTAATTTGATACAGGTAATATAATGTGGTGATACGGGTATTAACAATGGTAATTGAGTAATATAATGGTGATACGAATTTGATATAATGAAGATACCAAGGTGATATAATGTAGTGATACAGGTGATATAATGGTGATACAGGTGATATAATGGTGATACAGGTATTAATATAATGGTGATACAAGGTGATATAATGGTGATACAGGTGATATAATGGTGATACAGGTGATGTAATGGTGATACAGGTGATATAATAATGGTGATACGAATATAATGTGGGTGATACAAGGTGATATAATGGTGATACAATTGATATAATGGATTTAGGTTAGGTTGGTTGAGTAAAAGGTTGGGTTGTTAAGGTTAGGATTGGAGTTAGATTAAGGAATTTGGGTTAGTTCGGGATTAGGTTAGGTTGAGGTTAGATTAGAAGTTGAGGCTGAGTTAGATTAATTTGAGGGTTAAGAGTTAGGTTGAGAGAGCTGATGTTTTCCAGGTGATGGGACAACGTTTCTTAGCCATGTTTTTTTTTTTATGTGGGTCGAGTGGGGCTTGTTCACTTGTCGCTAAAACCTTTAATCCAGACGGATTTGTTGCCGTGTACGTGAACTGGTCGGTGTGTGTGTGTGTGCGTGCGTGTATGTGTGTGTGTGTGTGTGTATGTGTGTGTGTGTGTGTGCGTGTCTAACATTCTGACGTGTTTTATCCCGGTTCAAACAGGTTACTGATTATACGTCACATTAATAAACACCCAAACATCTGACACTAACATAGCCGGTCAAAACAGCTGTCAGTTTAAGGATATATTACTGAGACAACACTGATTAAGAATTGCTATTTGGATCCTTGAAGTCGTTGTGACAAAAACTAATCCCTCTTGTGAAAAACTCTATCAGAGAGATCAGGAACGGCGGAAAATTGGCTAACTAAACACCGCTACTATTAAAACACACAAAGTCTTCCCTTGTGTTCTGTTGTGATAACTCGTCGACTCTGAATATCGTTTTGTCACAGTTAAAACAAAAACCCAGACCAAGACAACATTTCATTTGTTTACATAAGATAAACTGGAGCCAACTAGCGGGAGGGTGAACAGTGAGTCTTGGCAACACCACCACCACCACCACCTACCTCACTGACGACACAGGGACGAGACACAAACCATTTTTACCTCACTCACACGCGTTGTTTGTTTTGCAATAATTGACGAATGGGATCACTGTTGTCTCCCCTTCTGAATCCGAATTCGATTGGATTCAGGTTGACGAACGCCGCCCAAAGGTATTTTTTTTTTGTGTTCACTTAGTATTTTTTTTTCTAGGAATTGTACTTTTTTTTATTGTGTTATGGATTGAGAATTTTTTTTTTATCAAGGTGTAGAGGTGTGGATGTCGTGTTTGGTAATTAGTTATTGAAGGGATAAAGAAATTTTTCTGTTTGTCGTATAAGTTGGTTTATAATTGAAGTGTAATCTTGTCAGTGTAGTGTTGTTGAGAGGTGAGGCAGAGGCAGGGTGAGGCACGTGGAGGTGAGGCACAGGGTGAGGGCTGAGGCACAAGGTGGGGCACAGGGTAGGGATGAGGCAGGGGTGAGAGGTGAGGCACAGGGTGAGAGGTGAGGCACAGGGTGAGGGGTGAGGGCACAGCAGGAGAGGTGGGGAGGCAGGAGTGAGAGGGGGAGGGGACAGGGGAGGGATGAGGCAGGGGTGAGAGGTGAGACACAGGGTAGGTGGAGGCACAGGTGAGCACAGGTGAGAGGTGAGACACAGGGGTAGGGGTGGAGGACAGTGAGGGGTGAGGTACAGGAGGTGAGGCAATACTCTCATCATAGACGCTTATTGACGAGTGAATCAATGAGAGTGAGACGCCTTGCTTGATTCTCTTGATTTTTCCCTTTTACTTTTCTTAAGCAACTACTGACAACACACACACACACACACACACACACACACACACACGTATAATAGTGGTCAGTTCGAATATACATATTATTATTATCGTCCGTAGTAATGATGAAAAATGAGTAAATAGTTAAATTAAATAATACAATACACAAACACACACACACACACACACACACATGGCTACTGGGTTCGCGTAATTATGTGGTGGGTGGACAGGCAGTAAGGTTAATCGCTGGGAGGGACAGGTGTGAGGTTAATGCTGGGGAGGGACAGGTGGTGTGAGGTTAACGCCAGAGGGACAGGCAGTGTGAGGTTAACGCTGGGGAGGGACAGGCAGTGTGAGGTTAACGCTGGGGAGGGACAGGCAGTGTGAGGTTAACGCTGGGGAGGGACAGGCAGTGTGAGGTTAACGCTGGGGGGAGGGGGAGGCAGTGTGAGGTTAACGCTGTTCTAGGAGCCACCAGTATAACCTTGACCTCTCTGTTTACCTGGTGGAATACCTTAATAATTTATCTTGTTGCCATGACCCACCTGTTAATTAATATCCCGGACAGGTTATCTTGACGGTGTGTTATGGTGGGGTATTATGCATTAATATTAGTTTAGTGTAGAGGTC